AGCTCAATTTTTTTTTGGTGTGGTCTGAAGTAAGAATTGTGGTTCTCTTTTTACTGGTACAGATATATTTTATTCCAACATAATTTTTGAAAATATATACTTCCTCCAATATTTTGGCATCTGTCTTAGTTTGCTAGGGCTGCCATAACAAACTACCACTAACTCTGTGGCTTAAACAACAAAAATGTATTTCCTTGCAATTCTGGAAGCTAGAAGTCCAAGATCAAGGTGTTGACAAGGTTGATTTCTTATGAGGGCCATTAGGGAAGCATCTGTTCCAGGCTGGCCTTTCTCTTTAGCTTGTAGATAGCCTAAGAAGACGCTGGTCTTCTCCCTGTGTCTTCATATGATTTTTCCTCCATGTGTGTCTACATCTTAATCTCCTCTTCTTATGAGGTTACCAGCCATATTGGATTAGGGCTGATCCATATGACCTTATTTACCTTAATTCTTTAGAAGCCCTACTTCAAAAACAGTCATATTCTGAGATATTGGGGGTTGGATGTCAACATATGAATTTTGTGTGTTGGGGCACAATTTAATCCATAATAGCATCTTTGTATATAATCAATTTATACATATGTTTGTGTCCATTTCTGAACTCTGTTTTCTGTTCTGCTGATTTCTATATATGTATTCTTACTCTGAGACAATATTGCCTTGGTTATTGCAGCTTTATAGTAAGTCTTGAAATCAGGAACTTCCAGATTTGTTCTTCTTTTTCAAAATTGCTTTGCCCTTTAAATTCCACATAGATTTTAGAATTGGCTTATAAATTTCTGCAAAGACATTTACCTTATTCAAATGAGTAAATATGGTACCTTGGCTACTTTTGTCTGTATTAGTGAAGAAAAAAATAAGAGAAGCAGTCTGAAACTGCCAGAGCCTCAGAGTTATAGCTGATAATTTATTTTGTAGAAGGGAAGGCCATAACACCATAAAGAAGTTGGGTGGAGATCTTCTGGGATCAGAATAGGGTCCCTGTCCCACTGATGATCACTAAAATGCTCTTACATGGTGTAGGGGAAAATAGTCAAGAGCTCTTAAAACATGGTGATATTAAATCAAAGAGTTAAGCCACTATGTGGAGCAGTAATCATTTCCCCTCTTCCCAAACCCTTTTTGATATTTTATGCATGGGGGATGAAAAAGTATTTCTTTTGTACTAGATTTTGCTGAATGGAGGGGCATGCTCAGTCTTATTCAGGACCCCCTTCATTTGCTGGAGCTTATGCTAAAATGTGGACAGAGAAACAAACTCTTTTTAATTTTTTTCTTTTATATTCTTTTTATGTGGGCAAATTTTATTTGATTATTATTTTTCCACATTTTTTATTGTTGTTCAAGTACAGTTGTCTCCATTTTCCCCCAACACTCCCCCCACCCCAGTCATCCCTGCTTATTTTTAAAATAATTTTTATTGTTATTCTATTACAGTTGTCCAAATTTTCTTTCTTTTAATTGTATTTTTCATTACCATTTATCTGAGACAAACTCTTAATAGAGTGAGTTATATAAAGGCAAGCATGAATAACTCATGCCCTAAATGAGAGAATTGTCCAGCTCCACCCTGAAATGGAACCCTCCCTCTGAGGGTGCTGAAAATTTGAGAATGCAAGCATCTTTATTTACATTGGTTATAGGACGATACTAAAGTTTTTCTAATTCTGTGCCTTTGACCCAGGTGATGGTTACTGCTGTGATAAGAGTGGCTTTAGCTGCTTGGGCTCCCTATTTCCCTGTTATTGGGAGACAAGATAATATCAGGGTAACTGTTGTGGATCTTGCTCAACTACTGTAAATGGTGCTGAATGATGGAAAAATAATTAGAATTCTTAGGAGGAAAGAAAATAATAAAGTTATAAAATCACCTTAGAATAATTAAACTGGATGGAAAGGTTCAAATGGTTGATTAAAAATTGAACAAAGTAGGACAAAAAGGTGGAGTAGCTATTAAAGTTTTAATGAATCAACATTAGAGATTGGGTGGTCTTGTTGTCCCAACAACTCCCCAAACTGTAAAAAGACTATGATATATTCATTTGATTTCTCCTAGGTCAATGAATTTAAAATAATCACTGCTTATGAAGAAGAGGACTCTATAGGTCTATGAGTCAGATCCAATTAAAATTGTGCAAGGTAAGGAAAGGATTATAGCCCCTGTGACAAGTGGGCTCAGGCACAGCTGCCAACAGAAGGCAAAACATTATTTGAATTAGTATGGGCAAAATGGCTTGGAAGTGGTAAGGAATAATTTTGGGATTATTGGTGCTCAATGTACTGTCATAGCTATATCTGGAAATGATAAGTGAGAGAAGAATATAATTGAATTTGGAGGACATGATGATATAATTTTAGAAGACTTGCAGGTGAAACAATGGCTGAAAGTAGGAATTATGAACAAACATAGTGTATGTTTTTGCCTCACCCCTACCAGAATGTGTTGTAGGAATGTCTGTGATGTCTCAGTGGAGGAATCTTCCCTTATTCAAACATTTGGGGAAAGTGATGTGCAAATCTGTTCTCTATTTTGTTTTAATTAGCTTGCTATGTGGGAATCTAGAATTACCTAAACCCACTCAAGCGACTAATTTAAAATAGCATACCTGGGGATCATCAACAATTCAGGCCTTATTAAAGGCCATACATGTCTAGTATGACATGTGAGAACAACTGATGGAACCTGCAGGCTATGGATTACAGAAATCTTAAGAGAGTATTCACTATAGTGTCATTGTATCTGTATATTAACAGTTCAAGCGGTACAAAGAATTAGGGAAGATTGGTGTTTTGTGATTGATTTGGCTAATGTTTTCTTTCTTTTTCTTTTTTTTTTAATTTTAACTGTTGTTCAAGTACAGTTGGCTAATGCTTTCTTTTCTATTTCTACTTAGGAAAAAAAGTCAGCTTACATTTATGTGGGTTGGACTCCAATATCAGTTTACTGTGCTCCTACTGTATTTAATTCTCCTGTGTGTTGTTCCAGCTGAAATTGAGGAACATTCTGCATAACAATTGTCCTGTCTTCTTTAAAAAGATCAGTATCATGAAACATAAAGATTTAGAAAGTGTTCCATTTTAAAGGAGACTAAATGGACATGAGACCTGAATGCAGCACATTACTCAAATCTCCTTTTAGCTGTGAACAACATCCTTGGATCAGTCAGTAAAATCTGAATAAAACAATAGACTAGATAATAGCTTTATAACAATGTTCATTTCTGGAATTTGATCACTGTGCTGTGGATATGTAAGGGAATTCTTTGAAGTATTTTAAGGGTAAAGGGATAGCATGTCTGCAACCTACCAATTTTAACTACTAATTCAGAAAGAATTTACATATTCAGGGAGGGATGGGACAAGACATGGGGAGAATTATAACAAGATACTAACATTGGTGGAATATGGATAAGGGTTACCTGAAAACTTTTATTCTTGCAACTTTTAAACTTAAGTCTCAAATTAGTCAAGATAAAGATACAGAAATATAGAGGTGAAAACAATTCAGAGAGAATCCAGTCCTAGGATACCTTCACTAAAAGAAATACTAAAAACATAACATAAAATGCCTAGGAGAAAACCTACTGAAAGATGTGTAAAACTTCTGAGAGAAATTAAAGACCTATATGAATGGAGAGATATATCATGTAAATGAGTTAGGAGACTCAATATTTTCAAGGTTAATTATCTTCAAATTCATGTGTAGAATAAATCTAATCTCAATCAAAATACCATTGTACATTTTATCGGTGAAAAATGACATGCTGATTCTAAAATTTAAATGTTAATGCAAAAGGTTGAGAATGACTAACAGGCAAGAAAAGCAACAAAGTTAGAGAAGTTGTTGTAAAGTAACTTCTTTAAAGTTTTCTAGACTTACTGTAAAGTTACAATAACTAAGAAAGTGTGGTAGGGACAGACAAATGATACTGTGGAGCAGAAGAGTAATTAGAGGAAGACATAGAAGTACATACAGTCTATGATAAAGGTGACACGGTAGTGGGGAAAAGAGTCTTTTCAGGAAAAGATTCTGAGTCAATTGGATATCCATTAAAAATATGAAACTTGACCCTTATCTCACAGCATACATAGAAATTAATCCCCTAGAAGGATTGTACAATCATATGCAAAAGAAAAATAATTAAGCTTCCATAGGATACTCTTGGAGAATATTTTGTGATCCTCAGGTAGCAGAGTTCTCTTAAAAAGAATATAAGAAACTCTAAATGTACAGGGAATAGTTGATAAGTTATACTTCACTAAAATTAAGAACTTGGCTCAACAAAGAACATCATACCATTAAGAGAGTAAAAATAAAAGGCCAAGGATCAAACATACAAAATAAATATACATACCTGCACCAAAAATCATTGTTATGGTAATTCCTAACATTATATTTGTAATACTCAGGGACTGGAAACAACTCAAATCTACCATCATTTGCATTGATCAATACATGGTCATGTGATGATTCAATGGACTACTCTATAGCAATAAAAATGAATAAACTGCTGCTTAAACAATAACATGAATGAATTTCAAACACAATATGGAGTCAAAGAAGTTAGACACAAAAGAAAACATTTCATGATTTTATAAAAAGTTCAAAAAATGACAATAATCTATGTAGTAGAAGTTACAGAAGTGGTCTTGTTTGGAGAGGAGGGAGGCTGGAGTGAATGGTGGGAGGGGAAGTTGACTTCCTGTGTGCTTCTAATGTTCTCTTTATTAACCTGGGGTGGTGTGCATGACTGAAGTGTACACTTATTACTTATATATTCTCTGTGATCATACTTAAATAGAATGTTTATTTGAAAACCATTATTCCTCTTAACACTTCTTACCTTGACCAAAAACATGAATGAACAATTAGAAGACCCATATTTCTTATTTCTCTGAAATATGTTACCTTTGAAGGCAGCTTTTCCACACTGTCTGTTCTTAGGGACATTCACTCAAAAAACATCCTTAGTACCAAGTAGCCCTTCTCTTTCTCTTACCTGAACAGATCACAGAGGCTGTGTTCCCAGGGGTACAGTCAGGAATGCCCAGGGCAGTCATTGGGCAATTCCATAGGAAGGACTCAGTCCCTGAGCAGTGAAATTGGGCTTTCCAGATCTGATCACCTCCTCCCATGAAGTAGGCTCCTTTTGGGGTAGAGATGGCAACTCCACAGCTGAGTTGATGACAGACAACATTGGCATTGGCCATGTTCCAGTGAGAGGCACAGAGCATTCTCCATTCTCCAGAAATATTTATCTCCACTTGTCCCTCACACTGAGAGGTGCCATTTTTCATGAGCCGCACTTCTGTGTATGCTGGTAGGAGAAAACAGGATTTTATCAAAACCTCATGTTTTTCTTACCCAACAGAGTATGCAGGGAGGTTAAAGTCCTGCTGTGCATCTCACCTGAACAGACAACTTGAACAGCCCCACTGTGCTGGCAAGCACCTCCTGGACAGGGCACTCTGGGGCAGATCCTGAGCTCAGGCTCCTGCCCCTCACACTGGAACTCTTCAGCCCATGCCTGTCTACCTGATTCTCTGGAAGGCACATCCACCAGGACAGATGCTGCTTTGCCACACCCCAGTTCTGCACAGATGACCTGGGCCATAGGGAATGTATGTTTCCCATCAGACACTGGAATCCAGCCTCCTCCAGGGTTCACTTCTACTTGTCCTGAGCAGAGTCCATCCCCTCCAGCCAGACGCACAAATCCTGAGAGAAACAAACAAACAAACAAAAACAAACCCAGTGAAGTGTCCATGATCCTGGCTTGGCAACTGGAAACATGCCGTAGGCAATGGTGTGAAAGTTTTAGTTCTCTGGTGGTGGGGCATAGAAAAGGATTGTGACAATTATTGTCAGAATTGCATTTTCATAAACAAGTTTCTGAAGATAAATGTACACTTTGAAGTTGGTTAGAAATGTGAATCCTTACCTAGTGAACTAGCAATTACAGAGACTAAGGAAATTGCACTCTAGTGGGCTTTTAAACTTGGGTGTAGAGGTATGAATAACTGAATTAACCCATAGTATAAAAAAGTTCATGGGATTCAAAGAGGTTAGAGGCCTATCAGGCAGAGAAGGTTAGAAGGCTATTTTGAGATTTCTGGGGCTAGAATTCTGAGCAGCTTTATCTCAGTAGCAGACCTTCAAGCGACTGAGGATAGGGAAAATCATGAGGGTTGGACCCATGAGTGCATGCTAAACTGTAGGCAGACCTATATAGGTCAAGGGAGGAAATATAGATATAACCAGTCCACTTTTATAATTTCACATTATATTTTTCCCATAATTTTTGATGGCAAAAATTCCAAGAATTTCTTAGGTGACCAGGTTGTGAAAGCAGCTGTCCAAAGATGAGTCTGGATGTTAAGAAAGCTCCTAGAGTCATAGGAAAAGGAGTGACTGGTCCTAGTCATCTTTCTTGAACCCTAGGATTTGCCAGTGAACCTGGGAGAGAGTGAGTTCTCAGGGGGCATATGTAAGATAGATAAGTTCATTTGTAACTTCATAATATGTTTTCTTCCCAGACAAGGGAGTCTTAGCAAATGCTAAGAAGTAAGAGTAATTGAGGTATTTCAATCTTATCTCTATGCTAACTGTATTCCTCCACTACTTTGATTTTTGAGATAAGAGGCTAGCATGCTGAAAAAAAGGAGATGGAGATGAAGGAAGCAGAGAACAAACAAGCTATGATTTGGAGACTTCCAAAATGCAAAAACTATAGTATAGATGAAAGATATAAATATTTGGGATAAATACTTGTGGGACAAGTCTTTAACACATTTTATTATCCTTTGCTCCTCCCATTTAACACCTAACCATAAAGCACTGAGTGAAAAAATTTTTTATATACACACACAAATCTCTGAAAAAGATTTGTTTGTAACAAAGACTCATTCTGGGGCTCCCCTACTGACATACATTTCTTCAGCATGTCACCTAACATGACCCCACATTTTCATATTGACTAAAGTTGTTCACTTCTGTGATGTGACAAGTCTTCCCATTTGTCTGTGATTGGGAAGGAGATTTTAATATTTGTGTGAGACTGGTATTGCTAGTGAGAAGTGAAGTTTTAATAATTTATCACTTCCATGGACATTATCATTGAAGTAAAACAGTATTTGGGCTCACCACAGATAATACCCACTTGTTTTGTGCTATTTCTATGTTTATGGGAAGGTAAGTGAAGTTTCTGTACAAATGAGGATGAAGGAAGGATCTGACTGACATGGAGATTCTCACTGAATTCTGACTGGCTTATCTGAGAAGAGAGAGTGAGTGAGATTTTCAGGGTAGGCACTAGGCTTACACTGAGAGCTCCTGTCCAGTTCTTCACCTTTTTATTGGAAATTTGTCTACCTGATTTAACCTTAAAAATATCAGGACACATTTCCCAAAACCTGCCTAAGCAGAAGAAATGGCAGAGGACAAGTAGTTTTATCAAGAAATGCTTAATTTAGAATTAATATGTTTAAACTAATACTGTAGAAATCCCAAAGTACCAACATAACAAAAGTTGAAAGTAACAAAAACCCCTAAAATCTGAAATCTATATATTGCACTGTAGTGAACTATGCTCGCATATTGAGTCAAATATGAAGAGATAAGGACATGCCTTTACTTGAATTAAAAAGGAGGGAGGCACCCAAGCCCATACCAAGCAAAATATGGACTCTTTCAGGGATAAGATTGAAGATTAACAAGCTTTAAAAGCTTCAAATAATACTGGGGATCCTCAAGCACTATGTTCTCATTTTAAGCCAGAGAAGACAGAATCTGGGCAGGCTTTACCATGAGAGGGACTTGTTCAAAGTTGCAGAATTAGGGAATACTGTTGGCTCCAGACTTACTTCTTCTGTGCCTGTTTTATACTCTCAATGCCAGCCACATCCCAGGTTAGTACATCTCATCTCCCTTGAGACCCACTGCTAAGCATTCATATCATGGCCCACCCTCCTGGGTGATTCACTTTCACTCTTTTCTCTATGTCCCAAGTTTAGCTTATTTGCTAGAGCGACATCAACTTGAGTTACAAGAGGGATCTCAGGGGGCTAGGTCTTTAGGCAACTACTCTTTCTGCACCTGTGCCTGAGTCTGGGAGATCCCCAATTTTCTATACCTCAGCTTGTGCTTATGGTTCCTTTGGCCAGAGGAAAAACTCTCTCTCATTATTTTATCTTACTTTGTCTTGATTTTTATACAAAGAAGCAAGAAAGCAAGGACGACCAGGTTGGGTATCATCACCTTTCATCTAGGTCCCATTTTTATTACTTTACTTCTGACCAGCCCTGTCTTGTCTATCCTGCCTATAGCTGTGACTCATTTGCCTCCAAACCAACAACTCTTAAGTCCTTTGATGGTCAGCCTCACCTATGCCCGTACCCTTCCAGCTCTTTATCCTTCAATCCAGGATCCTATTATTCTGATTGAAACAGAGAACCTTGTTGTCTGAGAGGTGGGAAATGTCTCCATTGGTGTTGTATTTGGCCACTCAGAGATCCACAAGGATCCAAGTTAAGACCAAACTTGTCCTTGGGCTGTGTGTTCTCCTATAAAGCCAGAAGTGGTCAGCATGAACTTTCCATCAGGATGCAGCAAATAGCAAGGATAGTGGGACACTGGAGGCCTGGACATAGGCAAAAATGGAGTCTCTGGTTGGCAAATGATGAAAAAGGAGACAGAAGAGATGCTTCAAATGAGGCATCTCTAAACTCTCTGCACAGGTTTGATATTTAGATAGGAAAAAAGTATTTGAAAACAATATTGAAAAGTGTCCATTTCATGTTGTTTTATTCAAAATACAAACATCTTTGTAGAGTTTGCAGGAACTTTGATAGGTAAATCACAACAAAAGAATGTAAATCACAATAAAAGAATGTTCTTATCTTTTTAGGGCTTTATTCCTAGTGGAGGATAAACATAAGTACACAGGTTTAAGACCTCTGCTAAATGTATGAGAGTTCTGGATAGCACAAAGAAAATGAAACTGACTCTTCAGAGGGATATTTGTTTTTATCGACCTCACCCAAAGCTAAATGAAAATTATGGTCAGATAGATCCCTGTCTGGTGTCCTGCTGTATAGATATCCTGTGTCCTTAGGCAAGTTACTTAAAATTTTACCTCTGGGGTCCTGTTTCTATCACTCTGACCTTTTCCCTATCTCACTCTTGAGTCCACCTTACAATTCATTCTTCTCAATCCCTACAACCAGCCACACAGAATTCACATAAAGTTACTCAGAGCCTTCTCTACACCACCCCTGGACTCTTCATGCTGCTCAGAGAACCCCATATGTGTCCTTTGGAAGATCCCATTGTCATTCTCACCACCACAGCTACCATAAACTTTTCTACCCTCTTCAAAAATTGTTTGTCCCCTTAGAACCATTCTTATCAAATAAGCCCCCAAATGCACTGAACTCTCACGTAAAAACTATATAATTCTTACATAAAAGACACAAATTAATACTTTATTACCTTTACCATTGACTTACCAGTGTTAGTGTCCCTATAAAGTTTGAGTTTATACAGATGTTTTAAATAAAAAATGAAGAATCTTTTCATGTAACAATGAATTGAGAACCTATGATTCAAAGTATTTCATCGAAAGATCTCTGGTTCTATTGGCCAAAGACTATAAATACTTAGGCTTGCATTTTCAAAGAAGAATTGCAATTTGGCACAAATACCTAAATTCCTCTCTGATTTGTTCAGTGATATTCCCTGTGCCTGTATTCCTACTAATCTAGTGCAAAACAGTGTCTCGCATTATATGCAGAGAAACAATTCAACCAAAGTACATTCTTATTCTCAACCTTCCCTCTGACAAGTTGTCTCACTATACAAAGGGAATGTGTGTAATGATTTGCAAAATCACTTACAAAATCATTCTTACAAAAGTAAAATTTTAAAAAATCATGAAGACTGATTTTAATTGAGATAATACTAGAAATAATCTATTTTGTAAATGAAGGTGGAAAGAATAGAAATTGAGACAATAAGAAGAAAATAAATAAAGCCCATCATTCACAGGTGTTTTGTGCACTTGCAAATTATGGATATATATCTCAGAGTCTGTAGCCCATCTATCTTCTATTGCCCCATTGATCAGACACCAGCTTCCTTGGAACTTGCCATTCTCTCACCTGGTAGACAATGCACTGACTATATCTGAGCAAATGGCTCTTGCATGCTACCCATAATTGCAGTAAAAAGGGCCCCAGACCAGGGAAGGGCACTTCCATACATGGGACTCCTTTTCTGTGCAGTTCATATTGCCCAGCCAGATTCATCCTAATCTTGCCCTGAAGTAAGTGGCCTTGAAGACTTCTCCACAGTCAAGCTGTCTGCATAGGCACTGTGGAAGGAAGCTTCCTTCTCCTCTGGTACTTTCCTCAACACAACCCCTCCACCCCTGACCCCCAGGGTTCAGACTCCCATCCTCGAATGCCCCCATTTCCTCCACAGGTAATGGACAATGAGCAGCACAGACCTGAGCAGATGACCCCTGCGTCGTAGCTGTGTTGGCAGATCTGCTCTCCCTTTCCCAAATAAGGGCACTTCTTCAGGTGGGACTCCTTTCCATTGCATCTCACGCCAGTCAGCCAAACCCGGCCTGATCCTGGTCCAAAGTAAGCAGAGCGTGGGGCATTGAGGGCTTCTCCACAGCCCAGCTGTCTGCACACCACCTGGGCATCCTCCATGTCCCATCCGTAACTACAGATGGTGCCCCAGAAGTCCTCATAAAGAATCTCCACTCTGCCGGCACAGCGACTGCCCCCGTCCACCAGGCGAAGCTCTTCACTGTCTGAGGAGAGAGAGGTCAATGGGGCATTTACAGAGGGAAAGAAGCATTTTTTAGTGCTGTGGGACAACCTCACTTGGGCAGCTGGGGTGCACTAGGATCACCCCTGGGTCTGGTTTCTTATGGCAGTAATCAGAGAGTAATAAGGTAGAAAAATAGAAAAAAAAACAGGAAAAATTAAGCAGAAAATAATCTAGTGAGTAGTCTCAGAAAAGTGTTACGTGGGTCCTATCAGTATTACCCTTCTGATTTGTAGAGTTCTGTATAGTACATGTGAAAGATATATAAGAAATGTGAGGATATCTCTATACTAGGTAAATGTGTTCAGAGTCACTGTAATGGGCTACCAGTGGGTTCCATCTTTTATAAACCATACATATTTTGATGCTATTGACATGAGCACTAGAAGAATTAGATCAAAGAGAATGGAGTGAGGAACTGGGGTGAGCTCATCAGAAGTCCCAGGTAGCAGCCATCAACTCTATCCCATTCAGAATTGTTCTTGGTATATAGTATTCAAGAGCAGAAAAATGGACCACAACACAGGACATGGTTAATCCAGAATACTTCACTTACTATTCTAGGCTTCATACTCCAGATCTGGATACTTAGTTTCAAAAAAATGTACTTCTCTTTGAGTAGCTTGGGCAACCTTACATGAGAGATGATGTCAGATGATATTGATTGGCGTTGGCCAGGCATTCCACTGGGAATCATAGAATGTTGCTTCTTCTCCCAAATGAATCTAATCTTCATGTCAGAAGTTGCGATTATTGAAAATATAGAATTATTTGTTCTCTGTCTGGGGAAACATATGATGTATTTCTAACTTGATCAAAGAACAGAAACAGGTTATATTCCTGCTGTGAATGTACTTGAACAGACAATTTTGACAGATCCACTGCATTATTATTCTCTACTTTTTGTACATGAAAAAGGGGTGTAAGGAGAAGTTAATGTCTATCAATTTACTTTAAGTAAGTGATGAGTAGACACAAAAACCTAGAAGTTTTGTTTCTATTAAGAGTGGTCCTGGCGACTTCTGGCCAAGATGGAGGCATAGGTGGACATACCGTATCTCCACACACAACCAAGATTAGAACAACAACAATTTAGAGGCAGAATAATACCCAGAACTGATAGACAATTTATCTGAATGGAAGTCAGACAGCCAAGAAGTTGAAGGAGACCCATTCACCCAGACCAGTAGGAGGGGCGGAGAGGAGCAGCTGGGTGCGAGTCGTGGTGCATGGAGAACAGGGAGAATTGGGCGCTTAAGGCAACCGGAAGCGTGTAAGGCATCTGGGGCGTGGAAGATCTCAGTGGGTAAACCCTGAGTATGCAGGCGGCAGCTGGCAGACCCAGTGAGGCGGCGATTGTGGACCAGGGCAGAGCGCGCAAACCAGGATCCCAGAGAAGGGACTGAGGTCCCAGGAGAATGGAGCTACGGCCATTGTTCCCTCCTGCCCCGCTCCCACATACAATGTCACAATCTAGCAACTGGGGTGCCCAGCCCTGGTGAACACCTAAGGCTCCGCCCCTCACTCTAACAGGAGTGACCAGACCAAAAAAAAAAAAAAAAGAGAGAGAGAGAGAGAGAGAGAGACAGAGACATGTCTCAAACAGAAGAACAGATCAATGCCCCAGGACTCATCATTTTAAGCAACTGAGAGATAGCCAATCTATCAAATGCACAGTTCAAAACACTGGTGATCAGGAAGCTCACAGAATTGGTTGATTTTGGGCGCAAATTACATGAAAAAATGCAGGTTACCATAAAAGAGATGAAGGAAAATGCACGGAGAACCAATAGTGATGGGAAAAAAACTGGGACTCAAATCAATAGAGTGGACCAGAAGAAAGAAAGAAACATCCAATCAGAAAAGAACAAAGAAGCATGAATTTAAAAAAATGAGGAGAAGCTTAGGAACCTCCAGGACATTTTTAAACATTCCAACATCCGAATTATAGGGGTACCAGAAGGGGAAGAGGAAAAGTAACAGATTGAACACATATTTGAACAAATAATGAAGGAGAAATTCCCCATTCTGGCAAAGGAAATAGCCTTCCAGGAAATCCAGGAAGCTCAGAGAGTCCCAAAGAAGTTGGACCCAAGAAGAAACACACCAAGGCACCTCATAATTACATTAGCCAAGGTAAAAATGAAGGAGAGAATCCTAGAAGCAGCAAGAGATAAGGGGACAGTCACCTACAAAGGCGTTCCCATCAGACTGTCAGCTGATTTCTCAAAAGAGACCTTATAGACAAGAAGGGGCTAGCAAGAAGTATTCCAAGTCATGAAAGACAAGGACCTATATCTCAGATTACTCTATCCAGCAAAGCTTTCATTTAGAATGGAAGGGCAGATAAAGTGCTTCTCAGATAAGGTCAAGTTAAAGGAGTTCATTATCACCAAGCCCTTATTTTATGAAATGTTAAAGGGACTTATCTAAGAAAAGAAGATAAAGAAAAAATATGTATAGTAAAAGGACAGCAAACTCACAATTATTAACAACCACACTTAAAACCAAAAGAAACTAAGCAAACAACTAGAACAGGAACAGAACCATAGAAATGGAGATCACATGGAGGGTTAGCAACAGGGGAGTGGGAGGAGGAGAGAGGGGGAAAAGGTACAGAGAATAAGTAGCATAGATTGTAGGTTGAAAATAGATAGGGGGAGGGTAAGAATAGTATGGGAAATGTAGAAGCTAAAGAACTTATGACACATGGACATGAACTAAAAGGGGGAGAATGTGGGTGGGAGAGGGAGTACAGGGTGGAGGGGAGTGAAGGGGGAAATGAGACAACTGTAATAGCATAATCAATAAAATATATATTAAAAAAAAGAGTGGTCCTACCTATAAGTGGAACCTAATCAACAAAACAAGCAAGCAAAATATAACCAGAGATATTGAAATAAAGAACAAACTGTCAGTGACCAGAGAGGGGAGAGAGAAGGGGATTAATGGAAAGAAGAAGGGGAAGGATTGTCAAGGATCATGTATAAAGTACCCATGTACAAAGACAATGGGGATGTAGGACTGAGTATGGAAGGTGGGGGTGGGTGCAGTGGGGCAGAGTGGTGGGACGAAAATGAGGACATCTGTGGTTGAACAACACTAAAAAAATAAAATATAAGGAATGGTCCTACTGGGTACAATTAAAAAAGCTGAAAAATGTAAAAAAAAGTTAAAGGTATTAGATATTTGTGGTTACCACATGGACTATATATGCTAGAATTCTGAAGAGTGGGGAATATTTCAGTGTTAGCCAAGGATGTACAACATTTTTTCCTATGGGAATTCCCATTTCCTATGGGAATTTTCAATTCAGTGCATGGGTTAATAGCCTTAGGCAAGGCAGAGGACTCCTGCTGGGACAATGAAGCCAGCATAACTTTGGGGGTTACCTGGTGCTGGAGTGACAAAATTGGAAGCTTGCAGGCCTTTCTAACACAACAAATTTTCTCCTCAAATATTTGCCTGCTATCAAGGCTGTGAAGGGCAGAAGGTGAAAGAACTACACCAAAAATTTTGGAAAGCAGAGTGGATATTCCCTCATTCTCTTGGGTGCTAAGCTACCAAAACATCCAGGCACCCAAATAAAATCCCTGCAAGCCCATGACATAGAAATGGAAAAATCAGAGGTAGAGTGTTACCAAACTGTAACCCAGACTTGTTCCAGTTCAGTTCTAGGTTGTATTTAGATATTTAGGTGATCAGCACCCCTCCCCCACCTGCTTAGCAGAAGACAAGATGAATCCTTTCATGTGTTAGACAATATATCTGGAGTATCTTATCTTTTCATATACAATTTTTAGTATTCAATAAATTACATGGCATATAAAGAGGAGATTGTATGACAAATTAACAAAATGGAAAAAAAGAGAAGACAGATACACACATTAATAAAAGTGTTGAAGTTAGCAGATTAGGATTTTAATTATGATTTAAGAAAAAAGAGGGAAGAAGGAAAAAAGATGCAAAAAGATGTAAAAAACATAAAATTGTATATATATAAAAATTCAAGGTAACAATGCCAACTGGAAGTAAAATGTCTAGAATAAAGAATTAAATGAATAGGTTAAAAGAATTGTAGATAGTACTCAATATAGAATTAGTGACTTAGAGGAAAGAAGAAAAGAAAAACAAGAATGACTAATGGAGACATACACAGGGGGAGACAGAGACAAAGAGAGCCCCAGTAATATTTGAAGAATAATGGCTGAGAATTAAAAAAAATTGGATGAAAATATAACACATATTCCAGAAGCTTAATGAACCCTAAGAAGAATATGAAATGCCCCACACCTAGTAAAGCTGCTGAGAATTGAAGAAAAAGCGAAAAATCTGGAATAATAACAAATATGTCTAATATAAAGAAGGCCAAAAAAGGAGAGCAAAAGGAATATAAAGCAGATGGGTCAATTAAAAGCAAATGGTAAACACTAACCCAACAGTATTAGTAATTGCATGTAAATGGATTAGATACTTCAAACAAAAGCCAATCTAGATAAAACAACAAAATTTAGGTAAATGTTATATGCAAGATACCATATACATGAGGGTAAAAGTAAAACATTAAAAGTAAAATAATGGAAAAATATATTTATATACTATGTAAACACTAACCATAAGTCAAGTGGAGGAGCTATATCAATATCACAAAAAAGTAGACTTTAAAGCAAGACACACTAATTGAGTTAAAGAGAGAATTTTCATGACTATAATGGGATAAGCCCTTAATACACATAAAACATCAAAATTAACCATTATTAGCATATGGCCAAAACCCAAGGAACTGGAAGTTTCAAGAAATATAACAAGAGAGTGAGAAACAGAACTTCTTGCTTTTGTTGGGAGGAGTAGAATTTCCCAAAGAAGAGAGACAAAGACTTCTGACTGGAGGGGCTTGAGATAAAGGGGAAACATGAATTAAAGGGAGGGATAGAGAGGTGAGGCCCATTGCAAAAGCAGCTAGAGACCAAGGCCCACACCTAC